CCCCCCCCCCCCCCCCCCCCCCATTACCGACAGGGTGTGGGTATGGGTGTGGGCGGGTGTGGGTGTGGGTGTGAGTGGGTGCGGGTGCGGGTGCGGGTGCGGGTGCGGTTGTGGGTGGGTGTTGGTATGGGTTCGGGTGTGAGGTGGGTGTGGGTTGTGGGTATGGGGCGTGTTAGGAGCAGAGAAACACCCACAACCACACCCACCCACACCCACACCCACACCCACACCCACACCCACACTAACACCCCACACACCCCCGCCCACCCACACCCACACCCCGTCCACCCACACCCTTCATGAGACTTCATTAGACTTCATTAGACTTCAAGAGACGTCAGAAGGCTTCAAAAGACTTTCAAGACTTCACGGAACTTCACGGCTGAAGTCTTTGCTGTTTCCCCCTTGCCATCAATATAGTGAAAAATAGCCACTGGTCCATAATGTAGTTCGTTTGCGAGATTTTGAGGGAGTTCAAATTCAAGTTTTAATTTATCATTTGATAGAACGTGTCATGATCTATCTTCAGTTGATGCGGAAAGATGCACCATTGAACCCTCGTCGAAATATTTGGCATTTTGTAGGATAACACCGCATGTTCCCCTCAGGTTCACCTGAAAAATAAGCTTTCGAATCTCGACTGGAAACTTTGTTCAAAGAAAGGTCTCAATGAGACTAATCAATCCTGGAAGTTTCAAATTTCTTGGTTACTCCTATCCTTAGATATGAACATTTAACATTTTGTGCTGTAACTGATGGGAAAAAGAATATTTTGCTTACTTATACTCGTATCTCGGGATAGAAGGAACGCAAAATACCAACACTTTCAGAATAAACTAGTCCCGTTGAGACCTTTCTCTAGACAAAGTTTCAAGTCGAAATTTGAAAATTGAAAATTGATCTCTCAGATGAATCTGAGAGGGGCCACGGCTTTTTGCTAAAAAATGCCATAAAAATTAAATATCTCGACAAAAATAAGCTATAAGCACGAGCTCTTTTCAGGATGTTCATAGCTTATTAAAGCCTACATAATGCAGATAGTCTTGATTCAAAAGCGATATGGCAACTGGACATTGTTCCTGATCCCATTTTTCTGCCCACTGTGGAGGAGGACACGCTCCTTAAGTTCGAAGTTAGAACTAAATTAGTAACTTCTAACTCGGTAAATTAGTACTAACTTCTAACTTAATAAGTTAGTAGTTAGAACTAGCTTCTAACTTTTTAAGCCCCCCCCCCCTGTCAAAAATCTGTTTTTTCTCCAGAGCAACCGATCTTGCTGAAATTTTCAGGAAATGTGTGCTTAGG